GACCAACAAGGAGCCGCTCGACGTGGACAGCCTCGCCAAGCTGCGAGATGAGGCGGCAAGTCGTGCGGGTGGCCTCGAGCGCTTCTGCGACCGCATGGCTGGCGACGACCGCCGCGACGGTCGTGGCGGCCACCGCGACGGTTCGTGGTGGATGCTGCGCGAGCTCGTCAAGCCTCTGCGAGACAGACTGAAGGCCAACGTCCGGCAGGAGCTGGTGCCGCTGTACGAGCCGCGGCTCAAGGCCATGACGCCGCACCTCGCGGGGGCGCTCTTCAGCGCGGGATACCGACAGGCACGCTCCCCGCTAAAAAGTCGCAAAGCCGGCCACCGGACCGAAACCAGAGCTGAATCGGTGCCCGGTTTACCCTCCTCTCAGGTGGATGACTTGCTCGCCGCCAAGCCAAGCACGCTGAGTGGGCAGCTGGCCCAGCACATGCGGGGCGCGACCGGGCGCGGTGCCTACTTTCGCGCCATCGCGCGTACCCTGATCGAAGAGGCGCGCGCCCACTTGCGCGGTTTTGGTGCACCCCCCACCCCCACCCCCCACCCCGCCACCTCTATCTCTGCCCGCAGGCGCGCGAGGTCCTGGCCTTGCAGCACGAGCTCGACAGCGGCGAGGCGACGGAAGCAGACGGCGGCGCGCCTCTTGAGGGACGCCGTGGGAGCCGCGGCGGGCGGCGAGGCGGCAGGGGTGGTAGGGGGGGCAGGGGCAGCAAGGGCGGCAGGGGCGCGAGCCGAGGAGTCGGCAGCAAGCGGCGGCGATCTGGAGCGAGCGTGAGCGCGGACCCGCGTATGGGCGCTGCCCTTGGGCCGAGTGGGAGCGCTGCTTTCGGCGGCCCGGCAGTGCCGCCAGAGGGTGGGGCGGTCGAAGGGGCGGTCGCGGCGTCGGGCCGACTTGGGCCGGCGGCAAAGCGGCCGTGGGGTGGCGACGACGCGGCTCTGACCGCTGCGTCTCGGCAGCGGCTTGGGCCGCTTCAGCCCGCGCAGGCGCAGCCTCACATGCCTCAAATGCCTCAGAGGCAGCAGATGCCGCCGCCGCCGCCGCGACCGGCGCAGACGCGACCCGGCGCAGCCTCTGCTGCCGCGGCCGTCGCTCCAAGTTCCAATGCCCTCGCTGGCGCTCCGGCTCAGCCCATCTCGGCGTTGCAGCGGGTTGTTGTGGCGACCAGCGGCGAGGCCCTGCATCTGGCGCCGGGCGGTGGCATTGGCCACGTCGCCCTCGACACCTTTCGTCAGCTGCTTCTCGGCGCGAGCCGCTTCTCGATGTCGCTCGACGTGCAGGCCGGCAGCGGCGCCAAGCGTGCTTCTCACCGGCCGCCCTACCTCGGCGTCTCGCTCCGGGGGGCCGCCTTCTGCTGCGAGCCGCCCACGGCCTACTACCTCCCCCTCTGCGGCAACGCTGGGCCCGGCGGCGGCGGCGGCGGCGGCGACAGCGCAGCGAGTGGCGTCAACGAGGCTGCGCTGTGTGGGACGCAGCCGGCCGACGGGGAGAGGCTCGAGCCGGCGTGGGAGGCGCTGCGCCTTGTGCTTGGCGGGCGGGCGGAGAAGGTGCTGTACGACGCGCAGCGACAACTCGCGCTATTAGCCGTGCGCGGCATCGCCCCGCGCGGGCTGCTGCTCGACCCTCACGTGGGCGCGTGGATGCTCTCGCCGGGCGATGAGGAGCGGCTGAGAGACTTGCACGACATGGCCCGCGGCTTCGCCCCGCACCTGGTCGGGCCGCGCCACGCCCCCGCCTCCGATGGCTGCTGTCGCTGCTGTGAGGATGCGCTGCTCGCGCTGGGCGTGATGCTGCATGTCGAGAGGCGGGTGCGCGACATGGGCAGTCGCTTCGACAGGGCCTACGCGCAGGAGATGCTGCTCCCACCCGTGCTGGCGAGGATGGAGGTGGGCGGGCTGCGCGTCGACGCCTCTTTGTTGCGGAGGCAGGCGGTGGACTGCGAGCAGGCCCTCCGCTCGCTCGAGCAGCACGGCACGCGCCAGACGGGCCGCGCGGCGCGACCGGTCAACTGGAAGTCACCAAAGGACGTCGGCGCGTTGCTCTTCCACGAGCTCCGCCTCGGCGAGGCGACGGGCGCGCGGCGGCTGCATACGGCGGGCGGCGCAGGCAAGGGGAGGAAGATGTGCGAGTTCCAGACGTCGAGCGCGGCGCTCGAGCTGCTGCGGTCCGAGCACCCGCTCCCGGCCATGATCATCGCCCACCGCAAGCTGACAGCCACGGTCGCCCTTTTGTGGGAGCTACTCGGCAAGTCGGAGCGCGACCGCCACCGTGCGCCCGAGCCGCAGCTCGCCGAGGCGGGCGGCAGTGAGGGCGCCGCCTCCGCCACACAGGCCGCCAGAGCGAGGGCGGCGGGCGCGCCGGAGGCGGGGCGAGAGGACGAGGCGGAGGAGGCCGAGGAGGAGCAAGCGACGGAGCTGGCGGGTGGGGTGCTGCCGGACGAGGCTCTGGCCTCCGAGGCGCCGGAGGTTGAATGCGCCCCCCCGGCGGCTGTGTCGCCCGCAGCGAGGGCGCTGCACTGCTTTCTGAACGCCCACGACAAGGCGAAGACGG